TGGGTATATTCAACAGATCAATCCTAACAGACGTCGCATTTTTAAAGGACCAGTAAAATGAAATTGGATTGGAAATGCTGTTGATGTATGGAAATGGTTTAAGAAATTCGTATCTATGTATATAAAATGTACTAAATGATATTAAATTTGGTACTTTTTGCATTTAGAGATGGAATCCTGAAAATAGGAATTAGGACTACTATTGGAGTACAGGATTGAGATAGCTTTAAACAAGTAAGAAAAATAGTAAAGTCGGACGGGGCCGACTATATGATAACCTTCACCACTTTGGGTATATTCAACAGATGAATCCTAACAGACGTCGCATTTTTAAAGGACTAGTAAAATGAAATTGGATTCATAAACATGTCATTCTGCAACCTATACTAAATTTTTCATGTGGTCAGATATAGAAGCTATATCTAAACGATATCAACGATTTTCAGGAAACTTAACACACATCGTTCTAGACCTAATTCATTACGATGTGCCAAATTTATGGCAAATCGAAAGATATATATAGGGACTTTGGTGCATCATTTACATTTAATAATACGAAAATATATATGGGAGCTATATCTAAATATGGACCGATTTTCACGAAACTTTGCACACATCATTCTAGACTCAAATAAGTACGTTATGCTAAATTTCGTGCAAATCGAAGAATATATAGGGTCTTTGGTGCACCATTTACATAAAATCGGACGAAAATATATATGGGAGATATATCTAAATATGAACCGATTTTCACGAAACTTGGCACACTTCATTCTAGACCTAATTCAGTACGCTATGCCAAATTTCGAGCAAATCAAATAATATATAGGGTCTTTGGTGCACTATTTACATAAAATCGGACGAAAATATATATGTGGGAGCTATATCTAAATCTGGACCAATTTTCACGAAACATACCACATATTATTCTAGACTTAATTCAGTACGCTGTGTCAAATTTCGTGCAAGTCGAAAGATATACAGGGACTTTGGTACACCATTTACATTAAATCGGACGTAACTATATATGGGAGCTATATCAAAAATCTAAACCGATTTTTCCCAATTTCAATAGGGTTCGTCCTTGGGCCAAATAAGTGACCTATGCCAAGTTTCATCCAAATCGGATCATAAATGCGACCTGTACATTGTTCACAAAAATACATGGACGGACAGACGGACGGACATGTATAAATCGACTTAAAAAGTGATTCTATGCATAGACATAATACCCTGTACCACAGTGTGGTGAAGGGTATAAAAGTCGTACTTATGCGTACGAAAAGTATTAAATGGTACTAAATGTGGTACAAGTTGGATTTAGGTGAACATATAGAGCTGGAGTCTTAAAATTGTGAATTAATAGGCTGTTGGAGTATATGATTGAAGTATTATGTACTAAAAAAAGTACTAAAAAGTACTAAACGGCACTATATTTGAAAACAGGATTGAGATAGTTGTTGAAATTTGTACTTATGAGTATAAAAAAAAAACAAAATTTGGTACAATTTTGACTTTATTACAGTTAAAATGTAGGGCTGATGTTGTTTTAGACATTCTTACTTATGAATATGAAAACTACTAAATTTGGTACTATTTGGATTTGGGTGAATGTATTGAGGTGGAATCCTGAGATTTGGAATGTAGATTACTGTTTAAGTGTAGGATTGGGCTATGGAATAGCTCAAACAGTTTATGTGTACGAATAGTATTAAATGCACTAATTTGCAACAATTTTCATTTGGGTAACAGAGAGAGAGAGAGAGAGAGCTGGAAACCTAAAATTTGGAATAATGATTACTATTGGAATATAGAACTGAGATTTAGCGGATACTTCATTAGTATATTATATATTTTTAATAGCCTTTAGATCAAGAAACGTGAATTTTTAAAGGATAATTTTATAAGGACTTTCAGGGCCATTAACACTAGATTGCCGAAAGCGGTCATTTTGACCGTTTTTCAATTTCAAGTACAAAAACAATTGTGTATATTATGACACAGCTTTTTAAAATTTGGTGACGTTTTCAGGCAATATAGGTATATTCAAAATTCCAGTCTTTCTAGTGTTAAGCGTGGCTTTTTGAAATAAACTGTTTGGATTTTTTAAAGAATATTTTGAAAATGACTTTAAGACAAATAAAAGTTGGTTTAGAATGAAATATGGTGAGAAGGTCCTTTAGACAAATGAACATAGAATTTTAAAGAATATTTGAGAAGAACCTATAAATATATGCGTGGATTTTTAAAATAATATTTTTTAATGACCTTCAGATCAATAAAGTTAGATTTTATAAGGATCTTTAGATTATTCTACGTTGATTTTTAAAATAGTTCATCAAGGACCTTTGGATCATACAATTACATTCAGGTCAATAACCATGACATGTATGTTTTTTAAGTAAAATTGTCCATAAAAGTAAAGAATGGACAATAATCGTTGTTTTAATCGATTTATACCAAAGGAAAGCCAAGGTGGTTGCTGAATTCTACGTGTCGCCCTGATGACCGCATATTGTCTAGAGTTACAAAAATAACTTTGGGAAACATTTCAAAGCTTTTCTGTGAATTCAACAGACAAACGGATGTAGCTAAATCGTAATAGAATGTTATTCGAATAAGAAGAATAGATATACTATTTGGGGTCTACGATGAATATTTTAATAATAGATGTTGCTATTTGTTTATTTCTGGTATTTTCTACCAACTGCAGTTAATTTGTAATTTTAGTTTTTAAAACATACAATCCGTAGTTTATTCTACTTGTGTTCATCATAAGTATCTCCCATATTCCTCTATTAAAAGGCCGCCCTTGGCTTAATAGAATATCAAATAATAAAGAATGAAATAAAAAAAGCACTAAACAGAGATGACAATTTAACAACGAAAATTGGTTTTTTGTCTAACAAACCCGTTAGAGTTATGTTCGCTGCCAAAAGCAATGCATTCGAGAATGATAGTAGCTTCAAGTGACACTTTGCTATAATTTTGAAATTGTTTCTAATATCCGTTAACGCAGTTGGGGTGTATTTTTCTATCGTTCTTCATATTACACATAGTCGTTGTAGTTGTTCAGTTTCTTTCGACAACAAAAAGGGGAGGGAGTTGATTCGAGCTCCACATTTCACCAACTTATTTTAGTTCTTCGACTAAGCGAATGCCATAAAGTTGATGTGTTGCTATTTATAAAAATAAACTCGATTTTTTGTTGTAAATATTGTCTTTATTTAATTTTGGGGTTGTTAGTTTCTAAATTTCTATTTGGTTGTTGTTTAATTTTTATTTTTTCTTTGTGGCAAAAATAAATTCAGTTGACAGTTATAAGAGAGTTTATGATGTCTTTTTTATATTCAATTATATTTAGTTTATTTGTGTCATACAAAAATGTGTTAATTGGGTTTAGGATTTATTAAAGTATATTTTTCAAGGGCCAACTGAGGAGTGGATTTATTAAAGTATATTTTTCAAGATTTATTAAAGAATATTTTTCAAGGGCCAACTGAGGCGTGGATTTATTAAAGAATATTTTTCAAGGGCCAACTGAGGCGTGGATTTATTAAAGAATATTTTCAAGGGCCAACTGAGGCGTGGATTTATTAAAGAATATTTTTCAAGGGCCAACTGAGGCGTGGATTTATTAAAGTATATTTTTTAAGGGCCAACTGAGGCGTGGATTTATTAAAGTATATTTTTCAAGGTCGGTCCACTTCATCCCAATATTATTAATTGGTCATCACCGAAAATTAGAGGCGTTGTCCTTGGCCATTCCTGGATCCTCATGGAAAACTTCCGCCTTCTAGTGTGGTAATGGGTTACTAAATAATATTTGAATACCTAAGCACCTGTAAATATTTAAGTGGAACTCCCACATCCGAGTACACACGACAACATAATTATTATCATTTTAAAGGTCAACCACTCCTCTTGGATATGCTATCAACTTTTCGGGTCGTTGTTCTTCAGGGGTAAATATATAGAATACAAATTTTGTCATTTTTCACAAAAAAGTCAGGGTCAATTTGAGCCGCTAAATATTGACCGATCTTTATGAAAACAGGCATGGTTATTCTCTGGCCCGATCCCCTTCTCCATGCAAAAATTCGCGGTGTTTGGGTCATAATTGCGGCCTCTGAAGCGACCAGAAAATCAGATAAAAATAAAGTTTTTGGTCCATTTCACCCCCTTAATATTAACTGATCTTTCCAAAAACAATAGGGGTCTTCATTGGCCAGAACCCATTTTACATGCAAAATTTCGTGAAGATTGGTCCATAACTGTGGTATGTATCGTGTTTACAAATTGTAATGGACGGACAGACACACATGTCTAGATCGACTCAGCTAGTCGAGATATGACGATGGGATTACTTAAAGGTAGGTCTAGGACCGGCGGCGTTACAAACGTACAGACGGACGGACACACATGTCTAGATCGACTCAGCTAGTCGAGATATGACGATCGGTATACTTAAAGGTAGGTCTAGGACCGGCGGCGTTACAAACTTTTGGGGCTGCACAAAGCTTATAATACCCTGACAACATAGTTGTGTAGGGTATAAAAATGCACGCCTTACGATAGGCCTTGAAAAACTATTTTTTAAGGGGTGTATTTTTTAGGAATCTTTATTTCAAATCTTATCAAAGGCTACTTTTTTAAATTTTTAAAAATTATGTGCACATACATAACAACAAAAATGCTGACAAATTATAAATACTATTTGGCAAATAGTTTTTGCACAAAAATTACATAATTTTTTTTTTCAAAATCTTAAATACATGTCTTTAAAGCATTCAAATTTATTGTTGACAGCTGTTTTGGCATTTGTCTAACATCTACAATTTTAGAAAATTTAAAATGATGTTTTTTTTGCGCACACACATCTGTATGTGTGAATGTAAAATGTTTTCACTTACAAGGCAATACAACAACATTCCATGTAAAATTTATTACAATAAACATAAAATAAACCACCTCATTTTTTTATTCCCTTGCCATTACAGGTTTTCTTGGTAGTTTCCTATCGAAGGGCCTGAAAACCAATCAATTAGAAGTGAATACCGATGAGAAAACATTGCGACCAATAGCTCGTCTGAAAGAGCCTCGAGACTTGTTTGCCCTGCCCAAAGACAAGGATAATGATTGTTCACAACAGGCCCCCCGATGGCCGATTGAATGTCAGGTATGTATTATTAAATTCTATTACAAAAAAATAATTGGAACATACAAATTTTGTTGAAAAAGAAAAAAAAAACAAGTTAAAACAACAATGTTGTGTTGGTAGCCATCGTTACACCTTCACAGACGATTACGAGCAAATAAATGTACCACAAAATGTTGTTTTGCCAAAAAACAAACCACAGAAATATGAACAGCATCATAATTCTTGCAATAAATGCCATCGAATGCTAGTGATTTACGTTATATTTTCAGAAAAAAAAAACAACAACAAGAATTACTAGAATATATGGCAAAGGCCCAAAACAATGTTAGTTTTATGTTAAAGATAGTACGAGGTTTGGTATGGTAAGGGAAACTAATTGAAGATAATACTGCAAAATAAAATTTTACATGATGTTAAGAAAAATTTTCCTAAATATTAAGCTTTGAATCTTAAATGAAATTTCCTAATTAGACCCTTAGGTTAGAAAATTCAACAGGACCTATACATGAGGACTATATTGATGATAATAGACCCACTTTACATAAAATTATTAATATAGGTCCATATTTTATTCCCAAATACAGGTCCCTTCCATTTGAATTTTTTAGGGATTTAGGGATTTCAAATAGAAGGGACAATAATTTTCAAATCCTAGGTTATGGTGGGTACGAAATTTTTACATCGAAATCTTTTTATATAAATCCAAATTTTAATATATCCCCTCGCATCATTGTGAAGGATACAGAAGGGATTTAGGGGATTTAGCTCCATTTTCAAACAGAAGGGACATTAATTTTAAATTCCTAGGTAATGGTCGGTAAGAAAATTCCATGTCGAAATCTTTTAATATAAGTCCATGTTTTAATATATCCCTCAACTCATTGTGAAGGGTATAAAAAGTTCTGCCGGGAATAATTATACCCATCACCACACCGTGGTACAGGGTATTATGTCTTTGTGCATATGTTTGTTAACAGGCAGAAGGAAACGAAATAGATACATGGTTCCTTTTGAGAATATGCATAGAATCACTTTCTTAGTCGATTTACGCATGTCCGTCTGTCCGTCCACGTATTTTTGTGAACAAAGTCCAGTTCACATTTATGATTCGATTTGGATGGAATTTGGCATAGGTCACTCATTTGGCCCAAGGACGAACCCTATTGAAATTGGAAAAATCGGTTCATAATTTTGCATGCATCCGAACCCAATTCTCGAAAAACGACATTATTCCTGAACTAAATGACCTAATGGGGTGTGAATGGAAAATACTAAAGGACTTCAGCAAGAACAGATAATTCCTAGAAGAGTATGGAGACCAATCATTAAGAATAATTTAGTCTAAAAACCTTTCCTTTCTAGAGCGCACAACAGACCTCCAATGGCTTAAGTGTATGTTCCACAACGGACATGTGGTGGTGTAAACCACCCCTCTTTTCACACTAACTAATTAGATTTAGCTCCCATATATATTTTCGTCCGATTTTATGTAAATGGTGCACCAAAGACCCTATATATCTTGCGATTTGCACAAAATTTTCGTCCGATTTAATGTAAATGCTGCACCAAAGTCCCTATATATCCTTCGATTTGCTCGAAATTTGGCACAGCGTAATCAATTAGGCGTAGAATGATGTGTGTTAAGTTTCCTGAAAATCGGTTTAGATTTAGATATAGATCCCATATATATTTTCGTCCGATTTAATTTAAATGGTGCACCAAAGTCCCTATATATCTTTCGATTTGAACCAAATTTGGCATAGCGTAATGAATTAGGCGTAGAATGATGTGTGTTAAGTTTTCTGAAAATCGGTTCAGATTTAGATATAGCTCCCATATATATTTTCGTCCGATTTAATGTAAATGGTGCACCAAAGTCCCCATATATCTTTCGATTTGCACGAAATTTGGCACAGCGTAATGAATTAGGCGATTTGAACCAAATTTGGCATAGCGTAATGAATTAGGCGTAGAATGATGTGTGTTAAGTTTTCTGAAAATCGGTTCAGATTTAGATATAGCTCCCACATATATTTTCGTCCGATTTAATGTAAATGGTGCACCAAAGTCCCCATATATCTTTCGATTTGCACGAAATTTGGCATAGCGTAATGAATTAGGCGTAGAATGATGTGTGTTAAGTTTTCTGAAAATCGGTTCAGATTTAGATATAGCTCCCATATATATTTTCGTCCGATTTAATGTAAATGGTGCACCAAAGTCCCTATATATCTTTCGATTTGCATGAAATTTTGCACAACGTAATGAATTAGGCGTAGAATGATGTATGTTAAGTTTCCTGAAATCGGTTCAGATTTAGATATAGCTCCCATATATATTTTCGTCCGGTTTAATGTAAAAGGTGCACCAAAGTCCCTATATATATTTCGATTTGCTCGGAATTTGGCACAGCGTAATGAATTAGGCGTCGAATGATGTGTGTTAAGTTTCCTGAAAATCGGTTTAGATTTAGATATAGCTCCCATATATATTTTCGTCCGATTTAATGTAAATGGTCCACCAAAGTCCCTATATATCTCTCGATTTGCACGTAATTTGCACAGCGTAATGAATTTGGTCCAGAATGATGCGTGTTAAGTTTCCTGAAAATCGGTTCAGATTTAGATATAGCTTCTATATCTGGCCAAATGAAAAATTTTGTATCGGTTGCAGAATGACATGTTTATGGATCCAATTTCATTTTACTGGTTCATTTAAAAATGCGACGTCTGTTAGGATTCATCTGTTGAATATACCCGCAGTGGTGAAGGGTATCATATAGTCGACCCGTCCAACTTTACTACTTTCCTTACTGGTTTTAACCTTAATATTTTTGCCATAACCCGATCTTAATCGGAATTTATGTCCACATGTCATTTCCTCACAAAACCCACAAATACTCAACATCAAAAAAAAAAAGCAAAATTCAATTTAATCAATCATCATTCGTTTAGAAAGTAAAGTTATTTCTAATCGATTGATTTTGTTTCCAATTTATTGCGTCTAGCCCAGTTTTCACATCAATCAAACTTGCCATTGAAAAGCAAAACAACAAAAAATCCTGCAGCCTCCTTCATACACCTTTGCTAGTTAAAAACAAAAAATGATTCCCGGCCTAAAGTGGCGGTAGGGGAAAATGAAAAATAACTGCAGATCAAATTTGTTTTATAAAATCGAATATCAAGCCAAACAACAGCACAGCTACCACCCCCTCCACTCAGCGATTGGATAACAACCACAACATACACCCAACCCACAACCCCCCACCCAATATTCAATAACAACAAATCTACAAAAAAAACTCATCAATCATTATTTAGTGGCGCACGAGGCAGCTTTCGCTCCTCCATGTTTTTGTTGTTTTAGCAACAACAACAAAAACATTGCTTTATGTTTGGTTAGGTGTGTGTGAAAAAGTGGACCATAGAATCATTGGTGGTAGTAGCCAAAATGCGTCTCAGGGGCATTATTTGATAGAAAAAAGCAAACACACACATATACACATACACACACAAAACTTTTCATTTCGAAAAGGGGAAATTTAACAAGGAAAATTGAATTTTGTTGGTCTTGTTGTTTACTACCACCCATACACACATGTGCATCATACATACCATAGGAAACCAAAACAATACTCGTGCAATCGTTGTACATATCTGGCGCACAAATTGCTCCGACTTTTGAGGGGTCATTCATATCACCCATCGATATATAAATTTGGTATTCAGATACAGGCATATCGTTATGTATGTATCTCCTGAGAAATTATGAACTAACAGATACAGCAACGGAGGAATTGAGAGACATGAGCATTTCAGGGGTCACACTATGGAAACAAAAAATCCTCTGTCTTCATAACTCTTCATAACAATAGATTTTTAAGGGGTCCTTACAAATTCATGGATTTCCTTCGTTAACCTTAACGGTATATATTTTCCAGAGAGCACATTTGTGTGTGTTTTTATGTACATTTGCGGAGCAGTCTATACATTTACGGAACATATTCTAAAAGCCAGGTACTTAGCTTTATTATACCATTAAGCAGAATGAATGTAATTGGGAAACGTGGAGCTGAATACAAAAAAAAAAAAAAAAAAAACTATTCCAAAAACAACTACCAGATAAATAGAGGTCTTATTAGACAGATTAAAAGAGATTTTTCAGCTGTAGAACTTGAAGTCCTACTAAGAGAAAATCCAAATGTAACAATTGCGATCTCTATCACCAAAGTGATAAGGCTAAATCGAGGTAATACTTTATTCTGATTAGGATTATGAGTAATTTTTGCGGTTCATTTATCCATGTTCATTCTGTTGTGAGCATCCATGTTCATTCGACGGCTAGCATGTTTGCCGATCAGTGGAACATTCTCAATCTCAACAAAAAAACCGGACATAGTTTTTTTTTTGGAAAATTACCTATTTTCGATTAAAAACCAAGCTGGAAAATAGAGAAGATTTTTACCACCTGGATTTATCCTAGCTCATACCATAGCTATGTAGGTCCAGGATCCTTACATACTTAGCTGATTTCTGACAGAACATTTGATCCATATGCCGAGCATAAAAAAGATTTCCAGGCGCGTCGGTCTTGCACGCAGCTCTTCCAATTTGAAAGACCATGTTCGGCAATGTTGTTTTCCACTTGATCTTTCCATCTTATTCGAGGGCTTCCCCTTCTGCGTGAACCAGCACTTGGCTCGCTTTCATATGCCTTTTGAGCTGGGGCATCTTCATCCACTCTCACAACATGACCTAGCCAACTTAGTCGCTGCAGCTCGTTACGTCTGACTATGTCGATGTTCGAGAATGGATGGTACAGCTTATGGTTCATTCAACGACGATATTCACCGTCAACGCAGATCGGCCCATAGATCTTTCGGAGATTTTTTCTCTCAAACACTCCAAGAGCTGCCTTATCTGTTTGCTCAAGTACTCATGCTTCAGATCCATACAACAGCACGGGTAGTATCAGCGTCTTGTAGAGTGTGAGTTTGGTATGGCCTTGTTTGTGAATTG